GGAAGGAAGGAAGGAAGGAAGGAAGGAAGGAAGGAAGGAAGGAAGGAAAAAGAGAGAGAGAAAGAAAAGAAAAAAGAAAAAGAAAGAAAGAAAAAGAGTTTTCTGCTAACAAATCTTGAGGCAAACTTAGCATTACTCTGTGGTAAATGACTTGCACAGAGACCCATGTTCTGTCTGCAAATAAATTAAAGAACTATGCGTTTACTCCTTCAGAAAATCTTCATTTTCCATATTTTCCACTAAATATGAAACAAATATATTTTCAAGGATTCGTTATTAATAATGAGAACATAGTAATTATTTGTGCAGGTAGTTAGTCATCTCCTGTTACGTTGAACGCCAGGAGGCAGGATGTGATCGGTTTCATTTTTATTAGAAAACTAGTTGTTCACTGTCTCCTGGTGGTCAATATACAGTAACTGAAAACATTACTCAGGATATACATTGTGGAGGAATGAAAGATGGTTCAGAATCATTCCTTCTTCATTCCTTTTTTACATGCATAAAATGGTTAAAAGTTTCTTTTTCTAGATGTAAGCTAAAGAGAGGACCCTGTGCAGACTTTTATCTATACACTTTTAATTTATGAGGAATATAAGCTTTCTGATATTAAATCAGATCATAGTATTGACTAGTTCAGAATTATGTTCAGGTTTTCAGCTTTCTGGATGCATATTTTCCTCTCTCAAATTGGAGATACCAAGGAATGAACTTGGGTTATTCTGCATACAAATCATGACTTAAGCCACTGAGTAAAATTTTTTCCATAGTTACAGACAAGGCAGGGAATTCCATTCGATGCTTGGTAGATAATACTTCTGTGAAATTTCAAAGTGCATCTGATAATTTCTGAGGGGCTGTTTTTCCTCCTGGATATATGTTTCCCAAAACAGTAGCATGCCCATCTTGGAATACAGGCTTCTCCCCATTTAGGAATGATGATAAATCAAATTTGCAGAAGTCTCTTATGCATGTCAGACACTGTCTGAAATCCTCAAATTCAGTTCAGTAGGATATACCTCCATGTGCATATGCTTGAGATACAAATCTGTGGGTTGTGCTCTAAAAATAAGTGACAATATTAAAAAATATTGGGTAGGATATGAGGAGTAAATTGTCTCTCTGCTCTCTGCCTAGCTTTTAATACTCCTTGGTATCAAAGTTTGCACATCCATGCGGAAAAAGTTATTTGAAAAGTTCCAAATACAGAATGATTGTACAGATTTTTCAGTCCTGCTCACCTATAAACAAGAAAAAAAAATTCCTTCCAGGCTTATCTTTTCTATCTTTGATTTGTTGGTTTTCTTTTTCTTTTTGTTTCCTTTAATGCTCAGCATACAGTGTTGATTGACATAAAACTTTGTGACCTCTCCTACGTTAAACCAAGGATTTGTTTTATAGTCCTATCTCAGAAGGCCGCCTGAGGACAGATCATTGCAGAACTGTTGCAGTTTTTCTTTTTCTGAAGTTTCTTCTCATTTCTCCATTTTCTTTCTTAAGGGCCTGTTGAAAAACCCAGCCTGCGAGGAAGATAAAGAAAAAGCCATAACTCAGATTACAAATTATTGCATTAGACACAAAGGGGATAGCTGCAAAATCTTATAGTGCGAAGTGCTTAAGTTTAGCCCAGTTTTGCCCAATCTTGGCCATTTTGAGTGGCCTCCACCTCCCAGAATTCCCCAGCCAGCCAATGACAGATTCCAGGTGCTGCCCTTCC